AGAGAGGGGGGGGGGGGGGGGGGGGGGGGTGTACTCTTATTTTTTTCATGCCTTAGCGGTTAGACCATTGACCACGCGTCCTCGAGAGGACGCAGCATTGTTCCCACAGGACCGATCATCGATGGCCAATCGTTCCTTCCTACTTTGTCAAAGGTGGCTCAGGGTGCTTGATTCGTGTTCCGCTCGCGTAGAGCAGTAGAGAAGACGAACGATTCTGAGAAATGAGTGTCTGCGGTCGTGAGGTAGGCAACGATGGGAGACAGTAGCAATGCCTTGTAGCCTGGTACACATGATGATGATCGTCGTCTCTAAAGAGCAGAGGGCGCAGCAGTTGCGTCGCAATCGTCCTTCTGACTACCCCACCCCCGGCCACCACCAGTCCTGCCGCGATGGCTTCCTGTGGCGCACGAGGTCGTACTTGCGGGCGTGGGACAGGGGTATCGCTGTCGTCGTGCGCGCCTCCTCGGCGGCGGCCTCGTCAGCCCTGCCCGGTGGTTCATCGTCGTCATCGTCGTCGTCTTCCGCGGCCGAACCCTCGGGACGTCTTTGCGAGGGGGTGGAGCTGCTCGAGACGGCATTGGGAGTGGCGGAAGGGTGTCTTCCCCCGGTGAGTCAGTCAGTCTAGCCTGCGACTACTATTTATTTGGCGACACTTGGTTGGCCTGACGCGGCCTACATTTGCCGATCCCGTCCTATCGCCGACCAGGCGGGTGGAATCTTTTGTCTGGCCGAAATTGTGGTGGTGGTGACTTGGTTTGGTGAGGGGAACACCGGCCACAGGCCATGGAGCAGTTTGTCCAAGGAGTAAGTAGTCTTTTGCCTCTGTTACGATGCGAGGTGTTGGAAGTTTCCCGCGAAGAGGCAGTTCATGACGTTCAAAAAGATCGTCCACGCCGAGCGGCGGTGCTGTTCGTTTGACTTGCCATCTTGTCTGTCTGTCTGTCCGTCAGGAATTGGTCACTTTCGTAGCGGCTTCTTCCCTTGAGTCATTTGGGTGGACGTCTCTTGACGAGATCGTGCGAAAGCATAATTTCGGCATTGAAAACCTCCAGGTTGTGGAGTTATCGAGCTATGAACGGCACCCTCGGGAAGGTTAGGGTTTGCGATCACTCGCACAAATACGGCGGTAGCAATGCATGGTTGATTTTTTTTTGCGCTTGAGCGCTCTACATATCGGTGAGGCGACGAGTTGTAGAGCGACGCTAGACACGAGAGGTCTAAAACGCCAGACAAGTTCAACAGCAGTCTCAATGTGTCCCCTTTTTGGTCTCTTCGTGGGCGACGGGAAAAGGCCCATCGTCCTGTTCAGGATAAGTGTTCAACAGATGCCTACGGCAACAGATACACGACTCTCGTTAGTATTACTATGTATGAGGGTGCGAGGACCTTTGGTAGTAAGACAACAATGGATGGTGATTTGTGTTACTCTTATCTTCAAGTCCTCGTCTTCCTCCCGCCTCTCCTTCTTTTTGCTCTTATTCCTCTTCGTCTTCGTTCCTTGTTAACGGGAACAGGGCCAGTTCCAGCAGTTCTGGACGGCGCTGGCGAGCGAGCTGGACCTGACGCTAGTAAAGCAGATCGTCGCCCGCAGGGTGGAGATGAGCCAGGACGAGGTAAGGTACTAGCACAGGAGTACCATGTGTAGCACCAACGTTTCATACGTGTAGCACATGTACATGTACACCGTATGCACATATTCAGATGTACATCAAGGTGTTGATGTTGTTCTAGATGGAGGCGTTTGTTGTTTGCCCGGGTCACGGCCTTACCAAGTACCAGGTGGTATGTCACAAGAGTATGTAGTACGGGGAGGCATGAGAGCCAAAACTGGCGGTCTTATCTTGCTCGCAGTGCCTACAATACTCCGAGTACGACAAAACACGAACACATTGTTCTCTGGACCCCCGCCACGAAGGGAAGCGGGAACATGACAGACAACCAAACCGGGTTTTCTGTCTGTTCGAGGTTGGGCAGGAGGCGTGCGCGACGGGACACCCACCGTCAGTTCCTTGCTGCTCGCGGCTTGCATGCATCGTGCGTCGTGTACTACAGTAGTGCCTCCTCGGGTCGTCTTGTGTAGCCTTTTTTATATAGAAGTATCACTTTTTTGTCACCGGTCCAAAGCTTGTCGGTGATGATGCTGATAATGACGATGTCGAGGCGCATGAAGTTGGTACACACATACGTACCGAGGACGGAAGTATGTAGTGTGATTCCCTCCCGCAGGACTGCTTCTGCAGATAGTGGTACCGTTGATCGCGCAAATGATGACGGCGAGAACGTGGTCCCAAAATGACCAATTTTTTCTCGTCGACGGCGTGCAGGGGCTGCAGCTGTTGGCGGACCTGAAGGTGCTGATGGGTCCGTTCGACTCTCTCGCGCGTCGCCGGCCGGAGAGGCACTTCCCTGCGCTAGCCGAGGCGGCGGTGCTGCTGTCGCTGGAAAAGGTACACACGATGGTGGATTTTCGATTATCTATCTGAATTTGGTGTGGAAGCCAGAATGTAAGTATCGTAGGATGGGCGAACACACGCACGCAAGGGCATGAATACGACAAAACGGACTCTACATATCGAAGGATCTTTATTTGCTCAGGTGAGTTACCACTGGCACGACCGGCGGTGGGTGCTTGGTGTGGAAAGTGAAGGCTAATGGTCACGAGAAAGCATTGCTCACACCCAACCACGACTTTAGATTGACCGAGTCCGCTCGGACAGTACTCGGCATTTCCTCGCCACAAATCGACCTTAAGAAACCGACCCTTTGATCTAGTGTTAGGTAGGCTGATACGACGTTGCGTCATGCAACTTTTGAATCTACGCGAGGGTTGAGGTTCCAACGTCTGTACCATCTTTTTGATTCCACGACGTCTGAGGCCTCGGAGACCAATCACTTCTTCGGAGAGCGTTAGTGTTAGCCCGACCTTAGTGAATAGAAACAGCCTGACCATGGCCAGGATAGTGAATGCCACTACAGTGCTATTAGGTCGGGACAAAAGAAAAAAAAATCCACGACCGAGACCCTCGTCCCATCCACGAAACCGCTCCCCTCATTGGAAACCTGTCGTGTATTCGTCTTTTGTTTCGTTATCGCCAGTCCCAGCTGCGGTCGCTGTCTTCGGGCCTGGATGCCCACGGTGGGGGTGTGGAGGAGGCCGTGAGGGGGGGCGGTTGGGACGGCTGGCGCGAAGAGGGCGGCGCTCTATCGCCGGAAGGCACACAGGTCCGGGCGGGGCGTGTTGTAGGGAACGTGAGAACGTACCGACAGACGGACGTATGGGCAAAAATTCGTTCCTCGCCCCTTGCTGTTAGTAGAGTGCTCTTGTGCGAAAAGTAGGGTGTGTCTACTTGTAAGGCTCGCGGCAGTTTGTTTTTGTGTCATGTACTTCGAAGTATCACACACACACCGTGCCGTTTGTTTTTGTGCTTGGCTTGGACAGTTGCCTCCCTTCTCCGGTGTTTCTGGTTGCATGTTTTACCGCTTGTCGTCGAAATGTCCACGTAGTTCGGACTCTTCAACAAACACCACTCTTCTACAACACTTTTTCGCAGCAAACTCTGTCCCTCTAAACCCCAAGACTTAAATGCAACAACGAATTATCAAAATATACCTTCCGAGATGAGACGGGCTGTTCCAGCCTCGATAATGGCACGAGTAGGGAGTGTGTTTGTCGGTATGTAGCGACGGCAACTTTGACGGTGTCATGGGTGTCCGAAGCACTCGAGGCAGGTATGCATATGTATATCCCTCTGTGCTGCAATAATGCCCCGGACGCAACAGGGTCGGGTCTAGGCACGACTTCGGCAGCCGGGTTGCCCACCCACGTTTGATAGGTTCCAACCTCGTTGGTCCCAGTCAAGTCACTGCATGCATACACTCGCAGCAGCAATCGAACACTCCACCATGTCGTGGAGGTGGTATCCTAACATCCACCTCGCACCTCCATGGGACCCCCTCCCCCTTCCCCCCCCCCCCGCCCCCGCGAGACAGATGCGTGACATGCTTGAGAACGTCGGCGTTCGACGGATGGGGCCCGCGGAGGCCTCCATCCTCCTGGACAAGCGGCTGAAGGGAGACCGTCTTGCGGTGCTCGGCTACCTCTCTGCTGCCGCCGGCGAGAACGGGGGCGGCGGCGGCGGCGGCGGCTCTCACCCCGCGGCGGCGGGTTTCGCGGAGGCTGGTGTCGTCGGAGTAGCGCCGAGAGGCGGCGACGGCAGGCCTGATGGCACGTTCACTGGGCCCGGCGTTGGAGGAGGTGGGGTCGGCGGCAGCCGGGAAGGAGCGGTGCCGAGGGAGGCGGTGTCTTCCTTTGGGTGAAGACGCCATGTCGCAGTCTGTTTTTGTCGAGACTGAGGGATACATGGGGTGTAGCGTGATCTAGGAGGTCGTCATCGGGAAAGGAAGAGGAGTGAGAGCACAGATTCTTATGCGTTTGATGTTGTGAATACGACCAACCGTCCGTCCATGCTGTATGTCCAAACTGGAATGGCAGTATCGATCCTGGGAAAATCGGAGTATGCGCTTGCAAGTGAGCGCGTCTGTGCGCCGCCGTGTTGGGATTGTGGCCTCCCTCCGCGTGCGATTGGCGCTATTCATCGAACGATGGGCGAAGCAGGAGTAAGGCGTGTCACGATCTTGTCCTTGGCTCGTTCGAGTCGGAAACGTCGTAGCGGTCTGAGGAACGGTTCCGGGGCGCCTACGACGATGGTGTTTATGAGAGCTTGTTTGCATGGGACCGATGAGAGGAAGAGCCTACGAAATCCCTGGTAATGCACAACAACACGCGCGGCTGCATCCCCGACAACCCCCCTGATGACGCTTGCGAGCCAACGAATCGGCGTGTGAATTCGTTTCTGACGCCATCTTGCTCTGGGGACTTTTCGCGCACCCGCGGGCGACAACTCCGATGCCGTTGCCGGTGCGGAGTTCGAATCGAGCGGTTCTTCGTCCCTCCCTTTCTCTAATGCGCCGCCCATGCGCCACACTCCGATGACACTCCGATGTGGCGGGTGCGTTCGCTCGCATGACTATGCACGTCCGCCAGCTATTATCTTGTATGATGTGGCGGGTGCGTTCGTTCGCATGACTATCTTCGTCCCCCAGCTATTATCTACGAGATTCCTCCGCCCCCGCCCACTTCGCAAACAACCGCTGTGGATACCGCCGGTGCAACGGCGGCGGCAGTGGTGGCAGACGCCACGATTACTGTCCCGAGGCCCCCTGTCGTCGGCCCACCGCTGCCTCCGCTGCTACCCCCGCTACCGCCTTGCGTTGGTTCTTGCCCCTCCCTCCCGGCCGCCAGCAGCAATGTTCGCTTTACGCCGCCCGGGGTAAGGCCTGAGAAGATTCTAATTCTTGCGCCAGGCAGGCTTTCCACGAGCGAAATCATGTCCCGCACCTGCTCGGCGGGGCGGCGATGCCATGCATGAACTCAAGAAGCACAGGCTAGTCACGCACAGAACTGAATGTCTGATGCCGATGCGTAGCGACTCCGTGAATTCTATCATGATGAGTACCACCTGACAACGCCAAATAACCATGAAACAGCTGTAGTGCCGTCCCGCTCACAAGAAGATTCCTCACAAGAAATCGAGACCCCATCTTGTTGAAGGGATAATGAAAAACGTGAAACGAATATGGACTCAGCCGCCGGAACCACGCTGTGCGACTGCTTGGCGACAGCCTGTGCTCAATCGTTGTGCTCACAATAATTGTTTCTTACACCAGCGGCCCTGCAGTCTGCAACGCACGAATGACCACATGGATACCTCCAAATACGTTATCACTACCCGCACCCCAGCGCGTAAGGGAAATACTGCTGTCTGCACCTTGGAAGCCATCCCGCCAGTCACGTCCGTTCCTCTGGAGCCCCCCAAGGACCCCTCGATGGACGGAAGGCTTTCGAGCGAGATCTCAGGCACGCAAGCCCCGTCCCCGCCGAAAACGCCTTCCGTTTCTCCCGCAAGCAGCAACCACCTGGTGGACGATGGGGGTGGTAAGCACACGAGAGGGATCACGCGTCGGTGTAGTTTTGCTCCATGACTACGCGGGTGTCCGGGAAAGCCCACACATACGCTGGCTTCTTGGGAGGGGGGGTGCTGATGCTGTGGGTGCAAAGAGGACTCTGCGTGGAGGTCTTGCGGGAAGCACAACAGAGAAGATGCTCGGCTCAGGAGGCAGTGTCCAAGCTGCAGCAGTGTGACGCACACTCGACCACTACCTGGGGAGTTTTGGGCAACTTCTTCTGCCTTTCTGTCTGTCTGTCTGTCTGTCTCGCTCTCTCTCCCTCTCCCCCCCCTCTCTCTCATCTTGCCATATTGCCTCTTCCTCGCTTTCCGTCCAATCATGTACTTTCACCCCTCACCCCTCACCCCCTCTATTTCTTACCCCCTACTACCCCCCCATTTTCTCTA